TAATAATAATAATAATAATAATAATAATAATAATAATAATAAGTGTATATACACATATAATGACAGTGTAATTAATGGTCAATACTAATTATCTATTCGTTTATCTTCGAGATTGTAAAAGGTATGATAATTTGTTTATCCGGTTAAATTATTTGATTGTTTGATTTTAATGTATGAAATAAAACAGTTGGTTAGTTCATATTAATCATAGGTATCAATTTTTGATGGTTGAGGTGTTAATTGTCGGTATTTAGTTAGAAATTATCGGTAGGTAGCTGTTTCAGATTATTGAATAGCTAAGATATTAGTTAATTCTAGTCGTGTTATGTATTTTCTAAGTCTAGAGAGATTATGTTCATCTTTGTAACCAAGACTGCCAAGAACAGTGATTGGGGATTAAATATGTGTAAGAAGAAAGTAGTAACAAATGTTGCCATTGATGCAGATTATAGATTATAGATCAGTATTGAACCATGTAAAATTCTTGATGTTGTGATATCGATCTGTTCAATTTCATGATTCAAATTAACTTTGTAATCCTAGAATTTGTGTGTGTGGGTTTGTGAACCAATTCGATATCAAAGATAAAGTCATTAAAATGAACTGATTCAAAATGTTCTTACGAAAGACAGTGTAGAGTAACATCTGAATGCAAAAAGAACTAGAAGCCCTCAAACATGGTTAAAAGATGAAGTAAAGCAGCTGCTTTAAACTGTGGTCGAAGTCCATGGCTGCCATTAAACATTTACAACAAAAAAATAAAGAAGCTAATATCATCATAGATAGTTAATAAATAACTAAAAATGAATAGGCCTAGATACAAAAGACTGTCGTAAACAAAGAGGGTAAGGATGCATAAAATTGAAAAGCCCTAATGCATCACACAACCTATAAATTCGAATCACAAGAACAATATCAATTCAAGCGGAATAGGACTAATATATCAAACAACAATCAACCACATGCAATGAAAAATATCAAACAAAACAGTAAATCAGTGAGACACAAATATTTACGTAGAAAACCCAAATCGAGAAAAAAAGCACGAGTGGAGGAAGTCGAGAACCAATCCACTAAATATTGTGGAGTTTACATAGCCTTAAAGGAAAAAGCAACTCATAACACTAGAGATGCACAAAACCCGAATCCGATCCGATCCGAATCCGATCTGGTTTTGCTTACGTCATCAAAAATCCGATCCGAATCCGGTCAAAATCCGATCCGGTTCCAACCAAAATCCGAATCCGATTCTAATCCGATTTGAAACCAGTTTAAACCGATTTTAGTGGGTTTTAATCGGATTTTGGGGCGGATTTGGATCCGGTTTTTAGCGAATCCGGTTTACAATCCGGTATCAAATCCGATTTGGAATATAGGATTAGGATCCGATTGAAAATCCAGTTTTAAATCCGATCCGATCTGGTTTGGTCAAAACCGATTTTGACCCAATCCGGTTTCGGATTGGATCCGGTTTTGAATAGTGAAACCGGTTTTTGTGTGCATCTCTACATAACACCTTAACTTTACACTACACCATGCAAGAGAGGGGAAGGGAGAGCCTAGGAAAACCCATGGCAATATGAGAGAAAAAGAAAAGAAAAATCAAGCTTTTCGCTAGTAACATGCTTTTATATATACTATCACATAAGTACTTAAAGACCATACCTTTCAAGTAAGTCAAAGCATGGTCTAGTAGAATCATGGGAGCTAAAATGAAAGACCACACTCAACCTCTAATCATCCTTAGAGGTTCATGGCAATAGGAAGGCATGTGCATAGGATCAATAGGTGTATTTCACTCAAGCTTCTAACTAACTAGTTACATGTTGTAAGTAGATGGAACTCTAAGGGTTCAAAACATTTGTACATGACATATATATTTATACCATATGAATACAACTAGTTTTTCTCTTTTATTATTACTTCCTAGAAACAATAATTTCCAATTAGTTGCTAAAATATTATTTTGATAAAATAAAAATTTTTCCAATTAAATACAAGTGTTGATAATATTTATTAATAATTATATTACTTTAATAAATAATAAATTAGTAGTAACTTGTTATATGGTGTGATAATATCATATATCATTAGAAAATATCAATGATTCTTGGGCATTTAGATCTTTCAATCTCCTTCTTGCACAAGACTCATCGTAGATTGATATAGAAAATGGTGAACGTCTAGCAACATTTCACTATCCCCAATAACACACGACGAAGAATGCCATTCATGAACATCTAATTCTTAAAATCTCCAAGCTACAACTGATGTGTAAGGTATGTTTATCAGTTATCCTTTTGTTACAGACATCCTGTTGAACATGAGACTTGGATCGCAATCAATCTCATTTGGTGTTCAACTTTGGTAACGCACGTTAGATGTCTAGCTCTCAACAGATAAAAGGAAAAAATCCCATCTCGACTACATATGCCTATTGTATAGTTCATACCACACTCGCCAATGGCCTTTATAACTGCCTCGTCAAAGAACAACATATAACCATGTCAAAGTATAGTGCTCCCTACACTCAAGTCCCAATATGCATCTCAGGTATTAAGGATACAAAGATAGTACCTTTGTCAAGTATAACTCATGATAGTGATCTATGAGGTGATCTTGAAGCGGGTCATGTTCAATACTAGTTCTCTGACAAGTACATATGAATCATGGTTTCAACTTTTTACGTACTTTCATCTTATGAGAGTCAACCAGTCCAATTCATATTGGTATTACTTCATAACTGTTCCCATAATTATGATCAACTATGAATTTTTAGAATAATTATATTATTCATGGATTAAACATGTTAATCTAGAACACAACAAGTATTAATGTGAAGATCATATCTAATATATCAAAACAATATAATAGTTGTTACAATGCTCCAATATCGAAATACTAAATCCAAATAAAATTTTTATTTCCAGAATAACAAAGTCCTATAGCTCAAACTTAACCTTTCATGCTTAACTTAAATGAAGGACTTTATTAATGGGTTCGACTAAATTTAACTTTTATGAATTTTGCAAATACGATCATCTCCATATTTAACTTTATTTTAAGTATAGTTAAATATATTAGAGAATGTGATTGGTGTTTTGATGTGTCTTAGAGTTCTTAGCTCTTGAAGTCACAAAAGATTACTATTTTATCCTTAAATGGAATGAGTCAACTGAGTTTTTCAATGAACTTAATCATCAAATCATATTAGAATGTAGCTTCTGAAGTAGCAGTGTATTCTTATTATGTAGTAGATTGTGCAATTATGTTTTGTTTGGAGCTAGTTCCAACAAAACTCCTTCTTCATTTATAATGAAGTCATAATCCAATTATAATTCATAATTATATCAATCTATTTTGAAGTCAATATCTTGTGTAGCTCTTTACGTAAATGTATTCTTCTAAACTGATTAACTCACATACATTCTATCAAATTTTCTTAAGTACTTTAAGAATGTTCTTATAGCCATCTAATTACCTTCCTATATATCTTATTGGTATCTTATGATATGTTTATAGCATAATCATATTCCTGCTGTTGTACATAGTATGACACAAATGATGGATTCATTTGTCAAAGAAAATAGAATATAAATCATTTAATCCAACTGAAACCTATGTGCTACGTCATTTTAAGGCAAGCTCAAAATAGTGTCATGTGGCAATGCCAAGAGTCCTCTAAATGAATCTTGTATCTTGATATCTTTCAAGATATTGTCAACATATTCATAAAGATTTAAAACTTTAACATTCATTTTATTTATCTCCATAGAGTTTACATTCCAAGAATGTATCTTGTCATTATTAAGTCTTTCATTTTAGAAACATTTTCTAAGTCAAGAAGAAACAACCTTGCATAGTCATAATGCAATTTCATATGATTAAGTATGTCTTATTCATACAAGATTAATAATATCACTATGCTCCTACTACTTCTTAGTAAACACAAATGTTATCTTTGTCTTTATATAAAAATATACTTGGTGTTTTTATAATAAAATGACGATTCCAACTTTAGGATGTTTCCTTTATATGCAAAAATGGATACGAAGGCTTACACATTTTGTTAGGATAACATGGATTAATAAAACCTCCAAGCTAAGCTATATAGATATCTCCAAGCATGTATCTATTAAGAAAAACGGTGTTTCATGAAATCTTTTTTCTATATCTCATAATCATAATAAGTAGTTATGGTCAATAATATCCTTGTAGATCAAATAATAGCTAAATGAGAAAAGTGTTAGTGACAGTCAGTGACATGAGTATGAGTAAATCCTTTTATAACAAGTTTTGCTTAATGTGTAGAAATCTCCATGTATGTATTCTTTCTAAAAGAATTACTTACTCCTTCTAGCCTTGCTATAAGTAGGAAGATTAATCAAGCACATACTTGATTATTATACATGGATTACATCTCAATGTTCATAACTGTAAGTCATTTATCAGGTTCAAAGTCTAATATAACATTTTGGTAGTTGATGGACTTGCTAGAAACCATCAAGAAGAACTCATCAATGAGATATTCCATATTTCTCATGATATAGATGATTTCTACCATTTATGTGAATAATTTGTGTTTATGAATAGATATTATTCATTTTTAACAACTTCTTGTTAAAACTAGTGCCAACTTTTACAACATCAGGTTACGGTTCTTAGGCTACTTCAATTTCCATGTGCCTCCTACTTGCTTTGTCAATTAGAAACTTGCTTTCAAACTACTCACCTTTCAGAGGAATGACAAACCTTATTCTTGGTGGGTTTATAAATAATAATCTAAATGTTATTTTGGAATATTCGAAAATATGTATTTAGTAGATTTTGGGTTTAGAAGCTTTAGTATAACATAGACTTCAAATACTGAAAACATTAAGTAAGATAAGGATTGAGCATTTCCATACTAAACCTTATAAAATTTTTATCTACTTATTAGTTGGTTTTTGTATTCAAAATATAATTAATAGTGATTTAGGCATAATCCGAAAAAGATAAAGGAAGATAAGTTCTACCGATTAGAAAGTAAACCATATCAAGTAAAGTTTAGATCATTCTTTATTATCTCTAAGGATTTAGATGGTATTACTGCTTTGTTTCTCAACTTCATTTATGAAAACTTCAAATGATTTCATATTTATCTTTTATCATATAAAATATAATTACAACGACCAAAGTTGTTAATATAGTTGATTAGGCATCTTGTACTAAATCTAGACAATCAACACAAGAGAAGTCATACATCACTATATATAGTTCCTTAATAATTATTAATCTTTTATATATAAATAAGATTCACATATGTCAAATAAACTACATTATTTTCCTTCAAAAATCCATTTCTTGTAGTTTGAATATGTGTATTTTATTTGTATAATAAAGATAACAATTTCATAGATAAGTTTGATTCAAATCATGTTTGAGTCAGAAGTTTTTTCTTATAGAACGTATTATTTAGAAAACATTGATATTTACTTTATAATTCTATTAAGAGATCTAGGTCTCAAAACCAGAATTTAATCATTTTAGAATATGAAAGTGATCGTTATGAAAAATAATTTAAGTAAATTATCAAATTCTAATAAATTAACAAAGACATACATTTAGTCAAGCTAAATAAAAAAATACATTGTGCCGAAACAAATATTGTTTTACATGACAAGTATTTAATGTTATAACCATAAATAATAAAGTCTACGAGTGAAGTTCCGACCTGCTTGTGATCAACTGCTTACTATTCTTGAATATATGCAAGTCATTTACAAATATTAGATTAACATTAAGTATCAAGTACTTGAGTGTTAAATTAAAAGTATAAGTTCTATCTAGTAGATACCTGAGTGACTAGTCCGGCTAATATTTCTTAGATAACAGGAGCAATTCCTCTTCCGGTGTCCTGTTTCTCTACAGTAGAAACAAGATCCATCTTTTTGGGCCTTTCTGGAGTTCTTGAGCTTATTGGTGTCCTTTTCTTGAACTATGAGCCTCCTAGAGCACACAATGTGACTCTTTTCAGTCTTTCCATCTTCTATTGCTTGAACATGTTTAAACCAGATTATACCCTTCATAAGATATATCCGCCTAACTTGATGAAACATATAATATGCTTCTAAGTTTTCCAATTCCTTCCAAATGTCAGGAATAATTGTTCCCTGTATAATGTCAGAAATATCTTCAACATCACAATGATGTTTCCACCAGGTATCATGTTCAAGTCTATTGTTCAAAGCAGGTTGTTTAGGATTATAACCTTGATGAATAGACAATTGTTGATCTCTCTTGAGATTGACTGTCAAGACATGAACTCATTCATTGAAATTGTATCCATCGAATGTTATTATCTATTGTAGATCAACAAGAGAAAAATGAAGCATGGTAATTAGATCAGATTTTGTTTTCATCTACAAAATTTAACAGAATTCATTTACTATATTCAATATTTAAATCTTTAATAATTAATTCCCTTTTAGTTTCTAAAACCTTAATTATCAATGTCTAGGATCCAAGTTGCAAAAACAAATAAATGGTGAGGTATCCTTTTTCTCATTCATTGAATTCAACAAGGTAGATATCGTTTAACAGTTATATACTAATATATGACTCCTAGCTTTATGGGATCGCTAATAACTAAGTTTAATAGACATATTTGATCCCATGTATACCTCGAATCTCTCTTTGCTTAGGGTATCATTTTTCAAAAAAGATTTCCGATCAAATCATCAAGTTTGAAGAACATGTGTAATTGACATATAACTTGGTTATAGAAATAGATATTACACCTCGGTCATCAAAAGATAACACTAGTGGTTAGGTGACAATTTTCTCATAAGCTTATACAAGTGATGTGCGAGTGCTTTCAAAGTGGACGACATAGACTTACGTTTTTAGGGGTCTTTGATGTTATTATAATTCTAGTTTAAAAAACATATGATATCATGATTATTGCATTCATCCAATAAGTCATGGTATACTTTTAGAATCACATTTTAACAATGTTCATTTATAATTATCTAATTTTATATAATTGATGCGGTCAAATATTAAATTAATATCAAGTATTAAAATTTAACGTTTGAGCACTAAAGAAAATTTATAAACTTTTTAATAAAACTTCATTTTACAAAATAAGATTTGAGTTTAATAAGTTTCTAAATTTCAATTTTAAACTTATAAATTTGTGACGTAAACTGGTTTTAAACGATAAAACTCATTTTATTTTTAAAACCTTTTTACCATCTTATGTTAAAAGACAAATTTCATTAAAACCAAACTCCTTGTGATAATTTTATATTTAAAATATTATCTAGCATTTTAAAATATAATTTTACAAACATACATAACATAACATAAAATTAAGCATCACAATTATAAACATATGTCCACAAACCATCCATAAACTAGTGATATTTTTGTGAGTCATGACAAAAATACCAAATCCATTCCTAAGGTACATAAAGGGACGGAAAACCTCGTGATGTCTTCGTGCTCCCACTTACTTCAACACCTTGTAGCAAGTTCATAAAAATAATTTTGTAAAGTTTATAAAATTTTAATAAAATAAAGTGTATGAACTTATAATCTTCAAAATTGCCACCATTTACATACTTGTTATATATTTGTAAAAATAAACTATTTTAAAAATATTTATTTATTCATATGATATATCATATGAATAAATAAATATTACAACCACTTCAACAAATCAACACAAATAACATCACAAATGGTCAATGGCTAATTTACGCACATCATACACACACATATACACACACATACATACATACATACATACACACATACATATATATATATATATATATATATATATATATATATATGAAAAATTTGCAAAAATGGTCCCTATGGTATGCATTTTTACGAGGTTTAGTCCAAACCTCGATTTTTTTTTGTTGGTTTCATGGTTCTTTTGAGCTAGTTTCATTGCGTTTTTGTCCTTTTCAATAGTAAAATGACTGTAATACCATTGGGGTATTTATGTTTCATTTTTTAAAATTTTTTTAAATCTAATCCTTATTTATTTATTTTAATAATTAAAAAATAAAAGGTTCTCTCTCTCTCTCTCTCTCTCTCTCTCTCTCTCTCTACATTTTAGATCCAAACTCGATTTCATATTTGAAAAAGTATTTCATGTTCTGGGGGATGGAGAAATGGGCACACAACATAATCACCATCATCTTTCCCATATCATCACCCTCCTCTGTTGCCAGATACACATTTAATTTTAGAACCCCAACTCCAATTTACCCCACCCCCAAATTTACTCATGTCACTCTGCACCTCCCGTCCGTCGGTGAGAAGTAGGGATGAGTGTGGGACTGAAGCAGTACCGACCCGTACCGTTCCCGATTTCCCGAAAATCAAATTTTATTGAAAGTCAATTCCGAATACCGAACCAAATTAACATCACCGGTACCGGTATCGGGAATGGTACCGGTTTTCGATACTAGTACCGGTACCGGTGGTATCGAATCCCGAATTTCATGTACTTGGAGTACCACATACCGTCCCATATTTTCAAATTTGGTAAGGTTCGGTACCGGTTACGGTACAGTACCGGTACGGGATCGGGATTTGGGACAAACTGCTCATCCCTAGTGAAAAGCACTATGGTCCAATGGTCGTTGAAGATCTTAATCTAAATCTGGAAGATGGTGGTTTCATCTGAACGCGGAGCAACACCTGAGAAGCTAAAGGGCTTTTCTTAGTTGGGGTTCACATCAGACACAACAAGGCGAAAGTGGGTTTGGAAGGAAACGATTGCGACGACAACGACGGTGGAAGGAAAGGGTGTTTGTTCGTCGGAGTTCACAATGGAAACATTAAGGCAAGTGTGGCGTTGAAAGGGAAAGGTTGTGGCGACGACGACAATGGAAGGAAACAATATGATGTTCCGGTGGTTGCTGGTACTTATCTAGGGCTTGATAGTGTATGGAACGGATGTGGTGAGAAATATGATGGTCGAGTGGTTGTTAGGTGTCCTGTCACAACTCTAATTTCCAGCTGCCTAATGGTTGCCGGCAGTGAATGTGGCATCCGATGGTGGTTCAAACAGATGTGATAGAGAGAGGGAATAAATAAATGACTTTTAGTTTTAATCAATATGCAGCTACCTCAAAATTTGTTTGATTTGTTGATTTACAACTTGCATCTTGCAGTGGCACACTATGAAGATCATCATCTCCTTCCCAGATTTGTTCGTTAAAGGCTTTTTAGATGGTAACTTAAGAATCAGAACCCTAAATTTGAATCAAATCTGAAATTGTGCGTGTTTGTGTGTATTAATTCCCTCAAATGGAACCAGATATTGTGTTTTTTTTGTGTTTTTGATTTCTGAAATCGATTGGTGCGTTTGTTTTTGTTTCTAGAGAGTGTGTGTGTTCTCATTTCTGGAAATCAATTTGTCTGTGGGTGTTTAACACCCATAAATTGATTTGTATGTGGGTGTTCTTGAATGACATGTGTGGTATGAGTTGATTGATGGTAGTTCCGTCTTGTGTACCACAAGAACATAAGAACAATTAGGGTTCTGCTTTGGAGGATGCTATTGAATTTGGTGGATATCGTAGGAGAAAGAGAGAGAGAGAGAGAGAGAAGAGAGGGCCCCATATTTAAATTTAATAAAACATTAAATTAAATACAATAAAAACTAAAAAAGTATCAGAAGGGCAATTTAGTCTTTTCAATTTTCTAAGGGACATAAAACGCAACGAAACTAGCTCAAAAGGACCACGGAACAAAAAAAGTCGAGATTATAAACCTCAGAAAAAATGCATACCATAGGGACCATTTTTGCAATTCTCTCTCTCTCTCTCTCTCTCTCTCTCTATATATATATATATATATATATATATATATATATATATATATATATATATATATATATATATATATATATATATACACACACACATATATACACACATACATGCATAAATACATAAAAATATATAAATAACACTTTGTTTTTGTAAGACACTTTTATGACTAAAAAGATGAATGTAAACTTCTAGTCATAAAAATAAAAAATATAAACATTTTAAGGTTATCATAGAAAATATTTATGGATTTTCTTACGAAAAGAAAAGAATCTATGTTTTCCAAAAAAAAAAAAAGATTATACCAAATAAACCAAAATGTCACCAAGTTTGCAAGATGGCTCTGATACCAATTGCTTTTATATTCAAAAATAGTCTAATAATAGTCCCAAAACTACACGTATAACAACATAAGCATTTTAAAATAATATCAATAAAACGTGTTACACCCACCAAAGGATCATCATGCAACACATGAAAAGATTTAAACACAACCATAAGAAGAAAATAACTACAACCTTTGAAGACTTTGATTTCTCTTGGGAGGTTAGAAGTTGATGAAGATGGGAAGAACACAAAGGAGGTTTCCTTTATAATGTATCCACCAAGCAAGGATAAACCACTTCAAGATGCTAGTGTTCACTTGTATTAAGCACTTCTTAAGCCTTAAAGAACTTATATAAATAAGCCTTAAAGGAGAAGCAACTTATAACACCTTAACTCTACACTACACCATGCAAGAGAGGAGAATGGAGAGCCTAGGAAAACCTATGGCAATATGAGAGAAAAAGAGAAGAAAGATAAAACTTTTCACTAGTAACATTCTTCCATATATACTATCACATAAGTACTTAAGGACCAAACATTTGAACTAAGTCAAAGCATGGTCTAGTAAAAGCATGGGAGCTAAAATGAAAGACCACAATTATCCTCTAATCCTCCTTAGAGGTTCATGGCAAAGTGAAGGAAGGTGGGGTCAAGATGTGTCTTTCACTCAGGCTTCTAACTAACTAGTTACATGTTGTAACTACATGGAACTCTAAGGGTCCAAATAATTTGTACATGAAATTTATATATTCATATCATATGAATACAACCAGTTTTTGTTCTCTTGTATTATTATTATTTCCTAGAAACAATAATTCTCAACTAGGTGTTCAAATATTATTTTCATAAAATAAAAATTTCTCAATTAAATACAAGTGTTGATAATTTTTATTAATAATCAAATTACTTCAATAAATAAATAATTAGTAGTAACTTACTATAAGATGTGACCCGGTAAGATCCTATGTCATTAGCAAATATCATTCGATCATGATTCTTTGGCATTTAGATCGTTCATATGTAGCCCGTAGGTTGATCAGAGTTGGGTTTGCCTTTTAGTCCACATCCCAGTAGTTACTTGCAGTTATCTTCAGTTCAAGTAAGTTTCACTACTATATGCAAGATTATTATGTGGTGCGTGTTATGTGATCGTTTGTATTTAGTTTATGGCTCTGGAAGGAGAAACAATTTATAACTCCGTTAGGGGAAACAATTTATAGTTCCATTAGGAACAATAGTTTATGGTTCACAAGAGGAAATAGTTTATGGCTTTGCAAGAAGAAAAAATCATAGCTTCGTAAGAGGCAACAGTTATATGCTTACGCATTTAGTTATACGCTTCCGTATTTATGTTCTTACCTATCCATAGTAGATTGGTTGGATATTGTGTGCTCACTAACTGTTTCACTTACCCGTTGATTATTTAATCTTTTCAGGATCTCTTGGGGTAGATAAGGGGAAGGGCCTGACATTTACGAATATTTATGATTTTTAGAATTTATGTTTTATTTAATTATTAGGTTAACTTTGTTTTATTTCACATTTTTCACTCATGTTTAGATTGTAGCAAAGAGTTTTCCAATTTTTATTCATTAAGAATTGTGTTGTATATTTAAAAAAAATGGGACGTTATAATAGTCTATTGTGATTCAAATATGTTGGTGTACAATAAATTACCTGTTTTAATCTTTCAAATTGTATTGGTTGTTATAAGGTCATACTCCTAAAAGTATTATAGCAGCATGATATGACTAAGACAATTACAATTTTCACTTTGTTTTCTTACTTTGCTATAAAACGTCACCAATTTGGTAGGAAAGTTACTACCTTGATTTGGGACTGTGGCACATTGACATCAAAGTTATCATCCAAAAGTCCATAAAATTATCAACATTAGCTTGAGTGGATGACTATTTAAATTCAAATGACTGTTTTTAATTTCCTATCTCCACTTTCTGTTTGCCTTGATGATATTATGTTTAGTTAAAGTGCTATGAATTAACATCCTGGACATATTCCAGTTTCAACAATACATGCATACAATTTAAAGAATTAAAGTTTATACTTTTTTGTTATAATTAAAGGAAAGAGTATGCAGTCCACAACTTAGGTTGGAGTAATAAATCTCAAAACAATTTATGGAATCCACACGACTGGCATAAGCCACTTAATATAAAAATGAAAAAATATGAAACTAAAGTGGGCTGTATAGTCCGGAAGTGGTGGTAAGATGAATTAAAAGAATGGAAGAAGTGTGGAATCCACATAGCAATGGGGGTTCCGCTCGTGGACCTTGGATTTAGGTTTAATTTGTAACTGCAAGTAGTAAACGTTTGTGACGGCTGTAAATTCTACGAATCTAATTAAACCTCTCTAGTTCGCCGGTAGACATAGCACCATTACTTTGATCGCGTGAACAACATAAATCATTGTCTTCTTATATTTCTTCACGTCTCTATTAATTGTGTGTTTATCACATCTTTACCTAACAGTTTAGTTATGGGAACATTCTTAATATGCTCCACCTATCTAAATATGGAGCTTAGGCCGCTTCCTATGAGTTAAAGAGCTTAGCTTGAAAGTCATTTAGGAAGTCATGATGATGAAACCAATGTGTATTAAGGGGTTGGTTTATAATGGATGCATGAATGAGCGAAATGATATGCATGGGGTGTTTATGTTTAACATATAAAAAGAAAATACGGGTTGAAGACTTTGGTTCAAACAAACTCGTTATGTTGGACTTGAGTGTCTTCACTACGTAAAGGTACAATGTGCTAGACTCCAACTTTATTTATGCAACACCCCTCTTTACAAAAACCGACTCAATTTTTTAAATGGTGTGGATTTTCCAAAATATATAGCAATGATCTTTTTAGTTATTAAGAAATTTAAAAGGTTTGTTTATGGGGATGATAATAACGGGTCATGTTAAAAGGCTGTCATGAATGTTCAAAGGGGTCACCGGACCTTTTTGCCACCTGTCGAAGGGTCACTATAATTATTCATGTTAGCAAATGAAACATCCCTCACATGTGAACTTTTAAAAGGGTTTAGTAAATTCAATTAAAAGTCTAAATTCTTAAAAATGTTCTAAGTTTGAAGAAATAAGTTGCTCCCAATGGTTTAAAGTTTAACAATATATGTAACACACGAGAATGTAACAACTAATAACACAAGTGTATATGATTCATCACATTAAAAGTCTTCTAAAAATTTCCTTGCTTCTAACTTTCGTCTTAATTAATCTTTCCTTGTAATCAGAGTACATGTCCTAATACAAGTGTAAGGCCTGGAAATCATAGTGAGGATTAGTAGTAATCCAAACTCAAAGTCAAACCCCCTAAAAGTAGTTTCAAAAATATCTCAAGTTCAATAGTTTTAATTGTTCAATGGTTCCAAAAGTAGTGGTTCTATAAACCAATATTTAAAAGTTCAACAAGTGGCACTACTAGAAAAATAGCCTTTTACGACGCGCAATCCACGACACTCAGTGATTTATGTTACGCAAAAGGAAGTGAACTTAAAATGGTGTCCACTCTTCAAAAATTTTAAGCATTTAGGTCACACATTATTGTGTGCCCTTAGATTAGTGTCTTAAAGAAAAAAATCAAAAACATGGAGGGCGCTTTACATTAAACGTGTGTCCTCTATAACCATCACCTTTTAATTTTAATGAGACGCGCTCTTGTTTCAAAAATCGAGGTATCTACTAAAATATCTAGGGCTTTTCAACAAAGATCAAAACACTCACTGATCATCACTCAATACACTCTCTACAATCGATCGTCGACTCGCCTTGCAGACAACGTCCCCTCCGACGACGTTAGGTTCCTTCTCTTCCAGCTGACTTCGCATCGCCGACGAGCTTGGGCCTGCCATCATTGGAGACTATTCAATTTTACGTGCCCCAGGT